ATCTATCTATCCCCACACACCCCCTCTACCTAATCAATCTATCTATCCCCATACACCCCCAATATCAAACCATCCCCACACACACCCGTCTACCTAATCTATCTATCTATCCCCATACACCCCCAATAGCTATCTATCCCCATACACACCCATCTACCTAATCAATCTATCTATCCCCATACACACCCATCTACCTAATCAATCTATTTCCCCATAACTCTATCTATCTATCTATCCCATATACCCCCTATCTATCTATCAATCTATCTATCCCCATACACATCCATCTATCTAATCAATCTATCTCTATCCCCATACTTTATCCCCATATAGTCTACCTACCTACCTATCTATCCCCATACACGCCCAATATCTATCTATCCATCCCATATACCCCCTATCTAGCTATCAATCTATCTATCCCCATACACACCCACCTATCTAATCAATCTATCTATCTATCTCTATCCCCATACACACCCACTTATCTAATCAATCTATCTCTACCCCCATACTCTAGCCCCATACACTCTATCTATCTATCTCCCCCACCCACACCATCTATCCCTCGATCTACCCGCCTCTCTCTGGGACTGGCTCACGGGTGTCTCGCTGTTCCCAGCCTGGCCCTGGCTGGGTCTCCGCGAGTCTTTAACGCGGCTGACGACTCGGCAGGAAGTTTTGCAAGTCCCCCGAAATCCCCCCGAAAGGGGAAGGGAGCCCGCCTCTCCCCGGCAGCGGCTGCGGGCAGGGAGGGATGGAGCGGCCCCGGCCCCGGCCCGGGGAGCGCGGTGCCCGGCAGGGCAGGGCAGGGAAGGGGCCGGCCCGCGGCGGTACTCACTCTGCCCTTCGAATTTGCGGATGATGGTGTCCAGGTAGGTGTTCTGCGGGGCCACGTGGCCCCTCCGCACCGGCATGCTGGAGTCCGGCCCAGGCTGCCCACCGCCGGGAAGTTGCGCCCCGTTCTCCGCGGGAGCTGCCGGTCGCTCCTGGGCTTACCCCCGGGCCGCCCCGAGGGCTCGCTCCGGCGTCCCAGGGGAGCCCATGCTCCGCTAGCCTGCACCGGGGAAAGCCCCTTCCCCGCCCTCTGCTCGGCTTCCCGGCCGGGGGGGCAATGCGCGCCCCGGCGGGGGGCTGGGTGTCCTGGGGGGCGGGGAGGGCAAGGCCCCGGTGGGAAGAAGGAAACACAAGCCCCGGGGAGTCTCGATGTGCTTCGTCACCGCGGCCCCGCCGGCGCCTGTCAGCGCCAACAGCTGGGAGCCTGACAGTCTCCAGCCGCCCGCCTCCCTCCCTCCCCGCCCGGCCCTGGGAGCCGGCCCGAGACGGAGCCCCGCCCGGAGCGGCCGCCGGATGCTGCTGGGAAGCGCTGCGGGTGGCTGCGGGGGGGGATCGCAGGGGCGGTCTCTCCCCCCCCACCCCAGCCCAGCCACCACCTGTCCCCGGCTGTTCCGGCGCCCCGGCCCCGGGGAGGGGCTGGGGCGCTGTCCGCCGGCCGTGGTGCTGAAGCGCTAATCCGGGGGCGGAAGAAGCCAGGGGGCGCCGGGCCGTGGCGGGGGATGGGAGGAGGGAGCCCCGGACTGTCCAATCTGGGGGCTCCTGCCCTGTCGTCCCCCCCCTTTTCCCTGCGCCCGGGAGCGGGGCTGCAGGCTGAGCTATGGGGAGTAAGCCATGTACAGCGCCGGATTCCCCCCACCCCACTGTCCGCTCCCCCCAGCGTCTCAGTGGGACTGAGGGTCCCTTCTGAGCTCGCCCCCCAGCCCCCCTCCCATTTCTCTTCTCCCCCAGCACCTCTGCACCGTGCCCTGCGGCTGGGAGTCAGTGTCCCTCCCGCTCGGCGCCTCCTCCCCCATAGACAGTCATTGAGGGCGATCCTTTCCTTCGATGGCAGTAGCCCCCTAGGGCACCGATCAAGGAGCCCCGGTGCTAGGCCGGGGCTGCTTAAGCCGGAGGTTACAGGGAGAGAAGTCAGGGGGTGGGTGGTGACCACCGCGCCCTTCCCCGATTGCTAAATGGGAGAGGGGCCTGGTCCCTGGAGGGCGGGTTGGAGCCTGGTAGGGAAAAGGGGCCCCTGTATGGGAAAGATGGAAAACCACTGTGCTAGCACCATCCAGCTGTGACCCTCTTTACCTGCCCTCCCCCCCATCAGCACAGTCCCTGCTCCCCACCAGTGCTTTTCTAGGAGTGGGGAAGGGGCGGCTGGCTGGGCATGGCCCAGGGATGCTTTCCCTGCAGATCAGCCAGTCTCAGCACAGAAATATCCCCCCACCCCCAAGGGGTTCCAAGTAACTCCAGGGCTCAGGGCTCCCAGGTCCCTGTCTTAATCACTGCTCTCCTTCACAGTGACCTTCCCCCCCCCCCCACTATGATCAGCCCCCCCCATGAGCGGAGGACCATGGCCACGGAGGGTATTTTGATTTTAATTATGCACAACTTTCCATGCATGAAATTGGTCGAAGAGGATTGCAGGCTGGTGTTTTGCAGGGGAGTTCCCATGAATATTCCAGCAGCACCTCACCAAGAGGGAAATACACAAAGCACTTCTCTTGGCAGCCTCGGGTGACAGCTCGTGATACAAAGCAGGGACCAGGGAGCGGGGCCTGCTCATTGTACCGTGGGAACCTGAGCCCGAGGAAAGGAAGGAGATTTCAAAGCCCATTGCAGAGGGTGGCTGCTGCTTTCATCTGTGGCGCTCGTGAAATCCGACCTTCCCCCCGCAGAGAAAACTTGTTCCATTGTTGAAAACTCATTTTCTCCAGTCCAATTTCCACAGCCGTCTGGGTCATAATTCACTGTGATTTATTGAGGAGACATTGTTCTGTATCACAGGGCTGCAGTTTCAGAGTCTGGGCAGAATTGGTGGCGGGGACTGGGAGTCAGGGCTTCTGGGGTCTGTTTTCTTACTGATGAGCTGAGAGAATTTAGGGGGATTGCTCCGTGCCTCAGTTTCCCCATCTGTAAAATAGGGATAATACTCACCACGGTTTTCAAAGGCACTTTGAGATTCTTGGATGAAAGGTGCTGTATGAGAAGGCAAAGTATGATGATGTATTAATAGGGTCCCTAGACAATAGAATGAAGACAGTCTGAGTTTATTGTTTCCCAGGTTTTTCTTTTAGGTCTTTCTTCTTTTTTTTTGCAAGCCAATACTGGATGTTTAAAAAATGAACCCAATTAACACATATATTAATAATAAATAATAATAAAATTATTATGTTAGCACCTAGTGGCCACAATCAAACGTCAGGGCCCCATTAGATTCTTGGATTCCAATGCCAGAAGGGACCATTGTTATCCCCTAGTCCAGGGGTCGGCAACCTTTCAGAAGTGCTGTGCCGAGTCTTCATTTATTCACTCAGATTTAAGGTTTCGCGTGCCAGTAATACATGTTAACGTTTTTAGAAGGTCTCTTTCTCTAAGTCTATAATATATAACTAAATTATTGTTGTATGTAAAGTAAATAAGTTTTTTAAAATGTTTAAGAAGCTTCATTTAAAAATTAATTAAAATGCAGAGCCCCCCAGACCAGTGGCCAGGACCCAGGCAGCGTGAGTGCCACTGAAAATCAGCTCGCGGGCCGCCTTTGGCACGCGTGCCATAGGTTGCCTACCCCTGCCCTACTCTAACCGCCTGTATAACACAGGACAGAGGATTTTCCCTTAGTTAATTCCTGCGTCAAGTCAAATAGTTTGTGGTTGAACAAGAATGGATCTTTTAGAAAAACTTCCACCCACGATTTAAAGATTTCCAGGGATGGAGAATCCACCACAACTCTGGTCAATTGTTCCATTGTTAATGACCCTTCACATTCAGAATGCATGCCTTATTTCTAATCTGAATTTGTTTACCTTCAACTTGCAGCCATTGGCTCTTGTTCTGCCTCTGCTAGACTGAAAAGTCCTCTCTCAAATTTATGTTCCCCATGGAGGTATTTCCAGACAGATCAAGTCACCCCTTAACTTTCTCTGTGATAAGCTAAAGATTGAGCTCCTTGAGCCTCTCATGGCAAGGCAGGCTTTCCAATCCTTGTGGCTCTTCTCTGAGCCCTCTCCAATTCTCCAACATCCTTCCTGAGGTGTGAACACCAGAACTGGACCCGCGATTCCAGTCGCAAACACTAGGAAATGTACACACATTAAATGAATTCAATAGTCCCTGTCCCATCTAAGGCTCTGATTCAGGAAAGCAATCAAACCCATGTTTAATTCCATCCCTAGTCAGGACAGCTCTTAAACACGTGCTTAAATAAGGTCCATGGACTTCAATGGGACTTAAGCATGTACATAAAATTAAACTGGTGCTTAAGAGTTGTCCAAAATAGGGATGCTTACTTGGATTGGGGCTAAAGGGCTTGGTCCTGCTCCCATTCAAGTCAATGGAAAAAATCCCATTAACTTTAATTGTGCAGGATCAGACTCACTGCAAGTAACTTTTTTTTCTGCATCTCCTTTCCCTGCTATCTGTTCTCTTTCTTTCTCTCTCTGATTTCTTTCTTCTCTTGCTGTGGCCTCCGCTCCCTTCTCCACATCCTTCTGGAGAGGGAAAGCATAAGTAGGAACCAGTCTGATTTCCGGTATAAACAAAATCCTCCAGCTTATCAGTGATCTCTTCCTATCTCCCTAAAGTAAATGAATAAAAAGCCATGCGTGGGGCTGTGAAAGCCAGTGCAAGCCAAGCACTGTTTAGTTTGGGAGGGAAGATAACAAAGCGTGTCGTAGGGTTCCAAATAATACAGGCAGGATGTAAAATATTTGCACATTGCCGGGAGCGATCGTCCATACTGAATATGGAATACGCGTTGCCATATTTACGGTAGCTGAGCTAATCATGGAACAAGGAAATGTGGGGGAGGCCTATTTAGCTGTGATTACACGTATTTAAATAATAAGACCTAGATTTTTAAAGGCATTTAGGTGTTGCTCTGCTCAGCCTTGCAGCAGCTGACTGATTTAGGAGCCTAAGACCCATTTTCAAAAGTGACATGACAATGTATTCGCTATGGCCCAGATCCTCAAAGGTATTTAGGCACTTAACTCCCCTCGGTTTCAATAGATGTCAGGAGCCTGAATATCTTTGAGGGTCTGAGCCTATGTCCCTTTTAACCCTTGGCCACTAAGGCCGGGTCACACCCAGGATAACTATGTTGACTGGGGTGTGATTTTTTACTGACATAGTTATAAAGGTACAACCGCAAGGGTGGATGTAGTTATACTGGTATAAAGGGGCCTTGTACTAGTATAGCCTATTGCCCTTCCCGGTAGAACCAGTATAAGTGAGTCCACACTGAGCGGCTTGTACCACGTTAACTATATGGGGCTAGTTAATGCCATACAGCTTTTAGAAGCCCTAAGGGTGTCCCCCAGATTCTCAGTCATTTCGCAGCGGGGTGCTGCTTTGAGATGGGCACGCTGATCCAATGGGAACTAGCTTTCCCCTCCCCCAAACTCTCTCCAGGATCTGGGACACGCTGTTTCCATGATTGCTCAGCACACACGTGGGGGAATCAGTCAAGTGGTTGATGCCAACTCCGATTTCACACCCTCACCTCCCTCAGTCTTGGAGCTTACATGTTTCCAGTGCGGGCGTTGCTCCAGTGGGCTGGAGCCTTTGATATGAAGGCAGCTCCACAGAGGCAGTCAGCAGGAAAAAACATCCCCTCGTCGTTTTTTTTTACAAATCAGCCATCTCTCCATTAGAGTCGAGTTTGGATGCTTGCCTGGCTCCCAGACCCGACTGGCTAACATGGTTTTTCCAGCCTTTCCCCACCATCGGCTGTATTTTGTAAACCAGGTGCACATGAATTCAGCTGTGGATTGACAGGCCCCGCACCTCCCACAGACCATGCTCTGCCCGTGTAGCTTCCCGTCACAGTTCCCCACACCATCCCCAGCCAACAGACCTCACTCCTGTGCTGGAGAAG